ATTTAATAAATGCTTAAAGGGAAAGAAATGGTCTTTCCGAAGATGTTAAAAATTATAGAGTGTTCTATTTAAAATAGGCTCACAATTTTGATTCAAAAAAGTTCGTTTTTTTTTCGGCACTTTCCAGAAAAAAATTACATGTGACAACAATGTCAAGAAAAATTTGAAGTAAATGTAGAAGGTCTAGTGAAAACTGCATTTTAATATCTTTTTCCGTTTTCAAGTTATAAGTTGTTAAAATGTGTCAATTTATAGATGTATAATATGTGTATTGACAAGTAATAAATAATAATTATTATTATGTAATTTCAATATTTTAGTATTATAATTTAGTGGAATATATTTTGCTCTTTTTTTCCGGTTTTCCATTTATTTTATACATAATAATTTGCGTAGACGACAAATTGGAAAGACCTATGTTCATAATATTCAGTTTTTGTGGGAATAATATTCCAACGAAAACGTATAAAACATAATAAAAATGTAATATTTACTCTAGTAATGCTTACGCATGAACATATTGGCTTCCTGTAATAAGCTAACAGGGTAGAAGGATATTCTTTACATGCGAAGACCGCATATAAGAACGAGGTAGTAACTTGAGTAAATTAGATCGTTAAACATTCACCAAACGGGGCCTTTCCAGTTCTGTAATAAAATTATACCGCAGACTTCCACTGCCACTTATTCATGCAAAATAAAAATATTTTGCTTCGTTATACATCCAATTACTGTTGTATATATTCAGCTTCCAGAATTAGGTATGTTATGTTACCTCATTACTATCCTCCACCACTCCACAGAAAGACATAAATTAACCAGCTTCCCATCCACTATGCAAATTATGCGAAATTACTTTTGTTTATGGCGTTCTTTCGCGACGCTTCTATTGAATAATGCCGTAATAGTCTGGCTTTAGTGTAAATCACACTTACATATTTTTCTATTTCGTTTTATGGTTTTTATTTCGGTCGTATGCGGTATTCTTAAGTGTATCAGGAGAATAAGGAGCATAATCTATTTTTTAGTATAACTGAGTCTTATTATAATCCTAAATAGGGCTAATTTTAGTAACTGCGTCAATATTTTTGACAAATATAAATACTTGATACCCCTTGAATAAGTATGATACTACGTTTGCATAGATTTTACAAATAAAAACATATTTTTAATTACATATTCTTTGATCTAGATTATTATTTTTTTAAATGTCCCAGAAAGCATCAGTCTAAGAGGGTCTTTTCAATAGGAGGAGGCCTAAGGGCCGTGCGGCAACACACACTCTATAAGTTACAGATACAGAGACACATTAAGGTCGGGTTGTATCGCAGATGGTTAACTAACTGATTACCTAACAAGTGGTTAATACTTAACCAACCGTTCGGTTGTCGCGCAACTTGTTAGGCTCTAGTCACGTAACTGACGTAACTCATAATTTCTGTAGTATTGGTAGAACTGATTTCCAGGTTCGTGGTGAATTCGCGTTGTACACATACTTTGATTTTCTTTTACTATACGGAGAATGGTCGCACCCACATACTTTGATTTTCTTTACTGTAGGGCGCAAGAGAGAGGTCCGACACGCCCAACATAGGGCCCGGCCATTTTGAACCCTATGCAACAGTTTATAGCTAAAGAATCAGATCGCTCACTCTGCGTCGGCACTTTTGATCTCAATGTTCCAGTTTATACACTGCGCAACTCGGATAATAAAATATATAACAACCGCCTATAATAAAACAGCTGTCTTCTACGTATCCTAAATTTGTATCCCTGGAGTGGATCTTATTTTGAAACTTTCAACTGGTCTGAGTGAGCTAACTGATTCTTTAGCAATAATCTGTGACTCAAAAAATAATATTCACTGACACTGACAGCCGCAAGCAAAATATCAGGTGCGTTTTAATCATCCGCTTCTGCTTCCGGAATTGTCGGTTTAGTTCGTTTTAACTTGTCAAATTAAAACAAGAAAACCGACAATTCCGAAGCAGAAGCGGATGCTTAAAACGCACCTAATAAAAATATTGCGACAAGATGTAGGCAACACGTAATAAGGGTTCAAAATGGCGGAGTTTTCTATCTCCTTTTAAAAGCTGCACAGTGCGACCATTCTCCGTATAGTAAAAGAAAATCAAAGTATGTGGGTCGCACCCGAGAATAACGATCAAGGAGAAGCGACAGCTTGGTGTTTTTAGTGTACCGTTTTGTAACGCGCATGTGCGAAAATAGGTTGTGTATCACTCAAAATGATGTTATCTGTCAAAGTCAGTCCAAGTTGTGTTTAGTACGTGAGCAATGTTAAGTGATATTTTTTGGTGTTTGTTTTGTGTAGTAATAAGATGAAGATTTTTACACACTTAGGTATTCTAATGCAGATATAAAATGTGCCAAAAAAGTTACTAGGAAACTAAGAATTTTATCACATGCATAAATATTAAGTATAATGATTTAATCATTTTTGACATTTTATTTTTCATATGTAGGTATTGTATTTTGTTAAATATATGTTTTTTTTCTTTTAAATAAATTTAATAAACAATGAACTGGTGATTTTGTTTATTTTATTTTGAAATTAAATTTAAAAAATATAATAAATCCGCGTGTTTCAATTAGGATTGGTCAAAATGGGCAAAATCCCTTTATTATGTCTAAATTGTAAGGTACAATTATGTCAATATAAAGATGTTTTGCCCATTCATATTTACATTTATTGAATGAATCATACTGGAGTTGATTTTGGAAATATTGGTGCATACTTAAATAAGTACTATTTCAAAAAATTCGTCTATGCCCAGACAGCACACATAGTCCAATGTACGTCCACTTTAGATCCATTTGAGGGTCAGAACGTCCATATCCGGGCAACCAGTGTACGTCCGTTTATGCTAATTAAATTGACAGCTGAATATTGATACCCAGAGAACGTCTGTTTTTGGACTTAATTTAAAGTTTAGTAGTATTTTGACGTCCAGTGGACGTCCATCTTAGGTCATTATTTATTAAGCCTACCAGATAATACCCATCTATATATAATTCTTTTTTTTTTAATATAACTGGTCATTAAAAATTGACAAATTCAATCTATTGCATTTCATTCTATCACCGGAAGTTTGAAATCTTATTCAATTATAACTGTATCTAGTAAACATTTTTCAAGTGGTTCCTTGGTCGAGCTCGTCTAGCGATTGAAAGGGTAAAACGATAATGGATGTGTCGTGAGTTCTAGGCCTGCTCAGGTCAAGCGATTTTTAATAATAAAAATAAATGGTGTATAGCGGTTTGCGAAAATAATAAACAAATTATTAATAATATAAAATAGTGTGTGGTAAGTTGCGGTTCTGTAAAAAAAGTGGGGATGTGGTCTCAATGGAAATATAATCCTGGACGTTTTTTGAATGTTCAGTATTCGACGTCCAAATATATTCCAGAATTAAACGTCTAAATATATTCCAGAATTAAACGTCCTCTGAATGGTCAAAAGTGTGCCATATGTATACTTCACTGGACGTCTATTGGATGTCGGAAGTCCAGAAAAAACTCATTCTTGGACGTCTAGACATCCAAAATTGTATATCGAATAGACGTCCAATGGACATATTTGTATTGTCTGGGTAATAGCCAGGCCAGGTATTTAACTCTAAATACATAAACCTTAAATGACATCTGGCTTAACTTGGCGAGAAAACACTTGTTAATACAGAAATGAGTGATAAACTTGAAAGTCCTTTTAATATAATATAAATCCAGAAATTCTAAAAATATATAAGTACTTTTTAAACCTAAAAGTTTTTGAAAATATAAGCACATTGCAAATATTTAGTTAAATATCTCAAACTTAATGTCTTTGTAATTGTTACCTAAACTTTTTTTGGCGTTTTAAATTTTATTTACCTTATTTTTAGTTAAGGAGAAGGTAATTTAATTTAAATATGGGGCTTTTATTACATTTTTAACAATAAATAAACCAAATATTGAACAAATTTTATAGATAAATTATAAAATAATAAACGTCTTTTACTTTTACAATAAATAATTAATTATTACATAATGAATTATATTTTGGTGCCGAAATTTCACCATTGCTATTAACCTTAACTACATCAATGTAATTAAATCACATTACAACATTTGAGCATGGTCTATAACAATGATTTCAGATAATTTGCCAAACTATTTCGCTCAGTGTAGAAAATAAGCATGTTTTCTCAGCGTGCTAAGTTGTGTATCAATTAAAGTCATGCTGTGAAAAAGGTACATCCGATATCAAAGGCACCGACAGCTACTGTCGCTTCTCCTTGATCGTTATTCTCGAGTGCCTTTTAAAAGGAGATAGAAAACTCCGCCATTTTGGACCCTTATTACGTGTTGCCTACATCTTGGCGCAATATTTTTAATAGGTGCGTTTTAATCATCCGCTTCTGCTTCGGAATTGTCGGTTTTCTTGTTTTAATCTGACAGGTTAGAACGAGTGAACCGACAATTCCGGAAGCAGAAGCGGATGATTAAAACGCACCTGATATTTTGCTTGCTGCTGTCAGTGTCAGTGAATATTATTTTTGGAGTCACAGTTTATTGCTAGAGAATCAGTTAGCTCACTCGGACCAGTTAAAAGTTCCAAAATAACGTCCACTCTGGGGATACAAATTCAGGATACGCAGAAGACTGCTGTTTTATTATAGGCGGCTGTCATATATTGTATTATCTGAGTTGCGCAGTGTATAAACTGGAACATTGAGATAAAAAGTACCGACGCAGAGTAAGCGATCTGATTCTTTAGCTATAAACTGTGTCATAGGGTTCAAAATGGCCGCGCACTATATTGGGCGTGTCGGACCTCTCTCTTGCCCCGTATAGTAATCAAAGTATGTGGCGTTGTAAATTGACATCATTTTGACATTCGAGCGTGATTCAAGCTTTATTTTAATTTTGTTTTTTTCGAATAATTACATTTGTTTAAGTTTAAAATTGTTTTAGATTATTATTGTTTATAATTAATAACAATGGCTGAAATTATAGGTAAGTAGGTATCTAGTACCATTTACCTCTGTAAATTATTCTTTTATTATTTTAGGGTTAAAGAAAAGGAGGGAAACAAACTTTTCTGGTAAAGAGGAGAGACAGTTAATTTCACTAATAAAAAAATATGCCAGTGTAATTGAAAATAAAAAAAACTGATATTGAAATGAATAAGAAAAAAAAACATGATATGGCACCAGTTGACGAAAGAGTTTAACAGTCACTCTGGGAAAACGTTTGAGTCCACTGATGCACTTAAAAGCAAATACCTAAATTTAAAGAAAAACGCAAAGAAAACTTATGCTGAAAAAAAAAGTATGTTTATGGCACAGGTGGTGGTCCACCTATTAATATAATAGATTCTCCCATTGAGTCTGAGATCTACGAAATAATTGGAGCTCAGATGTCAGGATTTTCTTTAAAATTTGATACTGATGCAATAGGTAATTAAAAACTTAGAAATATTCATTGAATCACAGATGTATGTTACATCAATAGTGAAATATAAAATGTGAGGAGCTGTTGATTTGATAAAATGAAAAAAAAATTACTAAAAGTCTAAAAACTATTGGATATTATGTAGCTGCAAATTGTGTATCTGGATGTGTCGATTCTTATAGCTTCTTCCTTAAAATTATATATAAATTTGAAAACTTGTTTACTAAATATTTTTGAAATTAATTTTTTTTTTAGATACTTTGAATGAAAAAATAACTTTAGTAGTTGAAGATGATGCCAGTGAAATAGAAACTGTAGAAAATAAAGAAGAAAAAGAAGAAGAAGAAACGGACTATACTTCAGACACTGCTCATCAGGAATCTTCAAGTTCCATAGGTGATTGGACAAAGTTGTCTATCAACACACTAAGAACCCCAGTATCCAAACAGCTTGATATCAAAGATAGCAGTGGTACAAGAAAAAGAGGTAGTGAACATATTTATTAAATAAAAACAAATTCTGTAAAGTTTACATCGCAGACAATTTTTTGAAGACCAAATTAGGCAACTGGGCGAAGGCGAAGCAAGATTCTGTTTCTGTTCAGCAGCAGGTCCTGCTTAAACAACATAGGCAGAAGTTAGCCCATAATGAAGACAAACACAGACAGGAAATGGAGCATAATAAAGAAACGCACAAACAAGCAATGCTCTTTGCAAATGAAGAGCACGAAGTAAAAATGAGCATTTTAAAATTAGAAAAAGAAAAGTTACAAAATTAATTATAATAAAATATTGCTAGTTTTTATAAATAAAATAAATTTAAATATTATATACATTATTTATTTTCAAACAAATCTTATAAAGCTATTAATATAAATTGTAGCTTTATTCAGTAAAGAAACTTGTATTTCATACAATTTTTTATTAAAATAGCAAACTGACTAGAAAATTACAACTAAGAAACTTTTTTATAACTAACAATTTAGTTTGTATAGATTTATTGTCTGAAAAGAGTAAATCCAATTTATTACAAGACACCCTAATAATATACACAATAATGTATACTAGTTTATTTTCAAATTAGGATGCACAAAAATATCTTACAGTGCTTGGAAATATTGGTTAATTAGATTATACCTAGCTGCATTATTAATATTGAACCTAGGTACATCTGGTATAACTTCCAAATTCATGTTATTTGCTTCCTGAATTTCAACCTCAACTGCTGGGTCAACTGGAAGTTCCGGATCACCTCTCTCACATGCTATATTATGCAATATTGTGCAAGCAACTACAATTTCCTCTATTTTGTTAATGTCGAGACGAATACCTATTGCTAAAACAGGAAATCTTCGTTTTAAAACCTAGAAACATCTTTCTGTTGAATTTCTGGTCCGAATTTGACTTTGAATAAAAAGTTGTTCTGCTGCTCCTAGAGGGTTTATCAAAGGAGGAATTAAATAGTTTCGTACACCATATCCGCTATCTGCAACTAGATGTCTACTATTTCCAGCATTACTGTTATTATCACAAAAATAAAGGTAATTTTTCTTCTTATTGTACACCTATCCATTTATTTCTTTGATTTAATTTCCACTTTGTTAGTGAAATTTGTTATATAAGTTTCACTGTTTTTTTTTGCTAGTATTTGTACAATTTTCAACACAGCAACTCCGGTTGCTTATTGTGTTGTTTTTACCTACTTTTTTGAAAAAAAGTAAAGTGTATACGTGTATTTGATATGCCAAAATTACAAAATATCCCCCTAAAATGCACGAATTATCCGCAGCTAGCGCTAGTATCACTTTTGCTTCCCTTTCCATGACTTCGCACGGAGCGAATACTTGATATGCCTAACAAAACCTTATGAATCATACGACTCGCTGTTGATTTGTCAATTCCTGCCAAATCACCCACAACTTGCAGAATCGAACCTGTAGCTAAATATCTTAATGTGATTAGCATTCTCTCCTCAGCACTCAATGCAGTAGTTCTATAAAAAAAATCGAAATTAAATTATAAGTCCTGTTATTATTTTCATTTATTTACTCACTCGTTTTGGGTATAGGAAATTCTGTGTCTAATTTCATAAACAATCATCTGAACTGTTTCCTTTGATAGTCTTAAACGAGCAATAAACTCCTCGTCATTCCACTTTAAAAATTGATTTTCTCTCAACCTAAAATTCCTGGGAGCTCTTGGAAATAGTTCTAGTTCAAGTAACTCTAAAAAGACCTCATCATCAGTTAATTCCAAATCACGTAAATTATCTAAATTATCTTCTTGGATATACATCAGATAAATTATCAATATACGAATAAATACAAGTTTTTCTCAAATAAGATGATACCACGATGAATGACAATTACACCTTACACCACGTAATTTAAAAGTGTCAGTATAAGTATTCTGTGGTTTTATAAAAATCGTATAGAACATAATAATCTTGACAGTTCTGTCATTCACTCTAAGGTTAACCAGCCGAAATCGATTAGTAAAGAAAACCCATCCGTAACCAATAGGTAAACTACTGTTTCGTTTATTACATACAACGGCCTATCCCCAGATAACCAATGGTTAGCAGCGATACAACCCGCCATAAACAACCTACATATATTAGTTTCTTTTCTAAAATAAAATTCCTGTACCATTTAATTTAGTTTATCAAATCCATATCATAGAAACTTTATAAATGAATCGAATATTTTCTATTAAAACTTTCAGTATTATATTTGTTGCCGTTTGTGTTCCACAACTCAATGCAGGAGTTTCTCTCAAAGTTCAACTTTAGCACCAATATTATTACTACTTTCAGAAGAAGCCTACTGCTTGCAGAAGTAGCCCTATGTATAGCTTTGTAAACGATTCATGCCAATATTCACTCTACTAAACAAATGTCATACAATGAGCTCGAAATTCGAAGAGAGAACAAATAGAAATACTAACTTTACGTTTTCGGTTGGAGAAATTCTCGTATAATAATCCCTTCACAATTTGGACGTTAAATATTATACAGAGTTTTCAACAATACATGTATCTCACGTGATCTGTTAGTGGTAAATCAATAAATGAATTAGAAGGGGCCTTTTTTAGTGACTTTATGACAAGTTTTTAGTTAGTTCTGTCAAATACGTCAATGGAATTATTTGGAGATTACTACTTAACAAATTAATTTGATTTTTCGCCCACTGGTGACATCAATTTGATCAAGTGGATATTGTTATATTACTACTGAATTATAGCAAACATAGGATGGTAAGATATAAATAAAAAAATTCAAAATATGAAATATATCGAAATAAGTACAAAGAGTATAAATCAGATTTTCTTGATTTCGGGTTTTTCTTACTACAGTTCATGTTTATCATCTAAATATATGCCCTAAGAGTACAAGTCAATGCTGAGTATTTTTTACTAACGGTTTACTATTGGACCTTTCAGTACAAGTCAAGTTCCATATTATCTGGTTTGTATAAGGAGTATAAGTTAAGTTATACTGTTAGGACCCATGTTTCTCACTTTTGGTTAGATAGCAGACCGCTGATTTGTGCTATTGATACTCTTTTTATGTTAGCAGTCTAAGCTTTTAATATTATCAGTCTAGTCTTGTCACTCCTAGGCATGTGAGTTCTACTTATTTAGTTTGATTTTTTTCTCACCTAAAGTTTAAGTAGGTAATAGTGTTTCCAATGAATTGTTGTATTATTATTTTTCGTGGTTAAGAGCAGGCAAGATGGCTTCTTTGAGGAGAAGGAAAAAAATGGTGGATATATGCAGTAACATAAACAATACTGAAACTGAAAGTAAGTAGATTGTTTTTTTTTTACTACCTAAAACATTTTGTAAAATACTTCCAAAATCAAGTTTTGATAACTCATTTAACAAACAAACTTTTATTTTATTTTCAGATAAAAAGCAAACAGAAGCTGATGTAAATAATTGTGTAGAGCATAATGTCAGTATTACTCATGGGTTTACTGAGAATGTTATTGTCGATGATCATGGAGGTGAGTTAGTAAATAAGGGGTTAATACATTTCCAAAGTATTTTTATTTTTCTTGCGAAAACAAACGTGAAATGAAAATTAGTTTGTTTTTTTTTTTCAAGAACAATCCATGGTCCAAAATGAAAAAGACTTCTTGGGGAATCTTTACCTGTCAACGACTGGAGATATTAATCAAATAATTTTTTGCAATGATGATGAGGCTGGTCCAAGTAACATTTCGAGACAGCAAAAAGTTTACCTTGGTAAGAGTTGATTTTCTGATAATTTTCTAGCCACAGGAGCCCAAAATAATATGTAGCTTAAAACGTAAAACTGTATATTTTACAGATTTGGACCATCACCAGAGTACTGTCTATGATGAAGTCCAACACACTCAACTGGTACAAGACATGGAAATAGCTGAAAGTGTTGGTCAAGGTAAGCATTTATCTCTATAGGCAAAAGAGGTTCAGAAAATGCAACAAGCATCCTAACTGTCTATTTTTTCCAACTTAAAACGGTAAATTGTCTGTATCTTTTACAGACTTGGACCATCAACAGAGTACTGTCTACGATAAAGACCAACACACTCAACTATTACAAGACATGGAAATAGCTGAAAGTTTTGGTCAAGAAACTGACGAAGGTAAGCATTTATTTTGATAGATAATTGAGGCCCAGAAAATGTAACAAGTATCCTGTCTATTTTTTTCAGATTATAACCCTGAACAGGAGAGTATTTCCTCTGATGAAGAAGTTTTCTATCAAACACGGAGTTCTAGCTCTAAAATACGAAATATATCAAAAGAACCACATTTAGAACAAAATGTAATCCAAGCTACACCTACTGACAGAAAATTTTCCAAAAAAAGAAGAATATAAAACTATAAAAATCGAAATGCTGGGAAGAGCTATGAAACTCTTGACGGAAAAGTAAAACTGGCAAGAGCAATGACAGCTTTGACAGTTTGCCGTGCCAAGTGCATGAAACGTATCCCCTCTGAGCCTGGAGCCTCGGAAGTCGAGATGAAAGAACGAAATTCGTTGCTAATTTAGTTCTATCAATTGAGCCTAAAGTTATTCGGAAATGAACCGATGATCCTGACAAAGAAACATTTAGACAGTACACCAACACATTTTATTTTAAAATTAATGGGAAACTGTCTCAGGTTTGCCGAGGTTGCGTTCAGAAAACTTTAGAGTAAACAAACATGTTCTTGACAATTGCTATTGCGTCTGCCCAAAGATCAACCACAGGTATTTTGGAACCCAGTAAAAGGAGTAAAGACTCGCCTGCTAATAAACTTTCAGACAACACCATTCGAGCAATTCATAATCACATAAAATCCTGCCCCACCTATGAATCCCACTATACCAGAAAAAAAAGCAAAAAATGCTTACCTAAACTTGACAAAAATGTGTGCACTCTATGTGGAACAAGTTACAAACCCTGCCTCTAAATCAATTTATGAGCGTGAGTTTAAAACACTCAACATTTCATTTAAAGGGCCAAAAGCAGATACTTGTCACAAGTGTGATGTACTTTCTATGAAAGAAAGAGTAGCAAAGTCAGAAGATGAGTTAAAGTCTGTACAAGATGAGAAAACTAAATATCAAAATGAGGCAGATTTGGTATATACTAAAAAGCAAAAGGACAAACAACTTGCTAAGGAGGACAACACCATTAAATGTTACGCATTTGACCTCCAACAGTGCCTGCCAACACCCTACTTAAATACGTCAGTGGCATTCTATAAACGCCAACTGTGGAGAGGCTAGCTGCGAGCTTAGTGT